TGACTCTCATCATACCCATAGGCCAAGTTACGATGGACATAGACCTTTGACGACTACGCGGCCACATTTCCGACCGAATTACGCGTCGAATGACGAATCTTATCATGCCCACAGACCGAGTTACGATGGACATAGACCTCCCACGACCACGCTACCGAATTCTCGACCGAATTACGCATCGAACGAACCTTATCCGACACACAAACCGAGTTACGACGGACAGAGACCTTCAACGACTACGCGGCCAAACTCCCGACCGAATTTCGAATTGAATGACGAACCGTACAATGGGCCAGATTATAATAGACCTAAACCTCCGGGCAACTCGCGACCAAATGATAATTTGCATCACGCGCAGAAACCAACTTATAATGGATTCACGTCCCCAACAAACTTGCGACCGGATAGACCGAACCGGGAACCATATGGCGTGCAAAAACCAGGCGATGTCGGAAATTTCCATTCACAAAATGACGATTTGATTAACAGACCGAACGGAGGTTACCCCGCTAGTCCTAATAAACCGCAACATCAGGGACAATGGAGCTCGAACGATTATCGGAAGAGACCTGGCGAGAAGCTGTATGATTACGACGATCCTGATGCATATCGGAAGAAGCCGAGCATTAAACCACCAAGTTACAGCACTGATGATTCTCATCAAATATCATCGAGTACGAGGCCAGGTGACGAATATAGTTCTCAATTTTGGAAGAAAGACCCGCTGCATTTCATCAAGGGGCCCGTTCAAGATGGACTTCATGGATCCGTTCCGATTTCTGGAACGAATGCTCCTTCTTATCAAAAGGTTACACTCGTAGATTCGAGTGCTTCGTCTTCTGCAAACGATCACGAGCGATACTCTGCTACCCCGATTTATCAAAAAGTACTGTCGTCTACTCAAAGTAGCTGGACGGACGTCTCACCGTATATGAAAGAAGGCGGTACTCGACCGCCTTTTAGCAAAGATCCGTTTCATAGTTCGCATCCACTCCACCAGAGACCAACAAGTCACTCGACCTATCAGAAAGATGATCAATCAGAATTATCTTCGAAAGTGTCAGTCGACAAACGCCCCGTTGCTGCGGACTCATACGAACATGATTCTTACAAAAATCCCACAGAACCACTCAGATTAAATGAGCAATTGTTATCCAGCACGCCGTATTCGTCGGAAACCTCGACGATTGGCGCTCAAATATACAAACAGGAGGAAAATCCTAAGCCAACGAAGGTACAAAGTGTCACGATCGTCAGCGAGACAATCGAAACGGTCCAGCATCCTGGCCATTCCGGATACATACCTCAACACAAAGTTACCAGCGAAATTCCGAGACCATTGGCGCAGCAAATAAGGAGCAACGTACCAGCCACTAAGAAAGCTGGGCAGTATTATTACGAGAAGAACGTGTTGCACCGATATCCGGGCGAGGTAGTCGACCAAATTCCCAAAAGTAATCACCACTTGACGGGCGGATCTGAAGAAACGTCCGTTCGAGATCGAGAAACAACGTCCGAGAGGACCTCAACAGAAGTGTCGGTTATCGACGACCCCGCGACGAGCTCTCAAGTGAATCAAAGAAACGAAAGTAAATTGACGACGACACCTACGCGCACGATCACTGATCACGATAATCGCAGAAGTGACGTGGTGGACGACCTCCAACGTGCTTTCTCGGCAGATATCGAAAGCGCTGCGCCGGCTGACGTTCCCGGCAGGTATTTTCCTTTAAAATTCTATTTGCATGAACAACTGCGCTTTGATACCGCAATATGTACAAGGTGATTACGCCCACACGCCTTGCGCAACCAACCAGCCGAACAAGCGTATAGTTCATTGAGAGACGCTACTTCGCAATAACCGTAACATACCTTTGCCATGTCTCATTAAATTATTTTTATTTCGTCCACATACGTGATAAAAAAATCTTGAAATCAATTTTTATAATCCGTTTCACAACTTTTATGTAAAAAGAAAAACGTCTTTTTCTCCGGTCAGCAAGTTACTGAAATCTACTTTTACGCTCGCTAAAATATCGGACTCTATTTTTTTTAGAACAAATCATTGGCTGAATTTGCAAGAGGATCTGAATTCATCATCGACGTTGGAAATTCCCGCAGTTCCGTCCGATGAATCCGCGAACGCCGAGGAATTACCTAAGCCCATTAAATCGCGGAGTCACGCTACTTAAAGTTCTACGCTTCTTAATTCGTCCTCAATACTTTCGATTCCCGATTGAAACGGGAACGGTTGAAGAAAGTTTCGCAACTTTATTGACTTTACTTATATTATCGAATATCGATAAATTCATTTATCTAAAAAAAAGAAGTACAAGAATATCAAACCAATACATAGAAAGAATTACGAAATATTTATTTTATATTTTAGGCTTCACTCTTATTTAGCCAATATAAGCGAACATATATTATCGCATTCAATTAAAGTCTCTATACGTTTAGATGCTAAGCTTTCAAAAGAGTAGATAGTTATTTGCAGAATGTCTCTTTGCATGTTTTAATTTTATATTATTTTCCTCATTATTTTGCCGAATAAACGTCAACAACAAGCCCATACAGCACGCAAATGTCGAAACAACATCTCAGAAACGTTCCATTACAACCTTGCAATATTGCATCAATGTTACGAAATGTAGATTCAATGTTGAAAAGATATTGCAAAAACGCCTAATGTCCGCTGAATTGTAATGTCTTGTAAACGTTACAATTCAACATTCAGAAAACAGTGTTAAATTATATTGAGTTAACGTTGGTTGCGTTTAGCAGAATATTTTTTAGCTCAAAAAATTTCTGACCGTTACAAAAATATTATATATACATTTTTAAGTATCTATTTGAGTGTCAAAAAATAATTATTTGTTCAAGATTGTTTTAACGTTGCAGCAATGTAAAAAATTAATGTACAAACATTAACCTAGATCATCAACGTAAAAAACATATTTATACTTCAACATTGCAACGTTTCAGCAACATTATTTTAACTTTCTGTGCTGTATGGTAAGAAAGAAAGATAGAATGTAAAAGAGTTAAAACTAAGTATCAAAAATCATAATCAATTGTTTAAATTTGCATATTATTGTATGCAATCGAAAGGGTAGTCTAGAATATAGCCCAGATTTTACGGGAATCAAGTTTATATAAAGGTATTTGCTATACCTAGTTGCTTAGAACTAAGTAAGTAGCGCATGTTACTTCCATATGCTGTTTTCGAAACGTTCCTTTATACTCATCTATCTTGTTGTACTTGCCAGAGATTATCACAGACAATTAAATGTCACCATTAAATAAACTATAAAAATATATATCGGCACCTATTTTAACAGTTATAGCGAGCGTTAGAATTTAATTAATAAAATTAATTATATCGCGTAACATAAATTATGTAAATGTGGGAGCAAAGTAAAGGATTGATAAGAATACACTGCTTTTATCTCAGGATCAATTATTGAAGTTCAGATCGAACTGTCAATATTCATGAACATTTCGACGATGTGCAAAATTTAATCACCTCGGAATTTCGATGTAATATAATTGCCGATGCATTAATCTATGCACTTGCAAATTAATCTCAATAAAATCTCGTCAGATATGATATATGATATAGGAAACGGATAATTCATATATCGGAAATAATAAACATACACAATTAAATTATATCAGATTTTTTAAATATTATTGGTAATATTTGAGGCAATAATTATATCGCGTAATATTATATTATAATTATTGAAGCATTAACGTTAATAATTTCATATGAAATTTACAATCTTAATGAACTGTACGTAAATAAATTCCAAAGTTGTTCCTTTTACTTCTAGTTTCCTTTCTATCATTCGATTCTTTCAAAATATTTGCGCTACGGAATTCATTTCGTTCGCCGTAAATTTTGGAATCGAAATCTACTATCCTGGAAGGATTTATGGCCACTAACGTTTCTTTGGCAAACGCCACATGAGGTTGTTTGGATTTATACGAGACTTATTCTCAGAGGAGCAGAGCACGAAATGTGAGGGAAAAAAACAGACGAAAATGAAAATATTAATATCGGTAAATCATTAAGCGCGCGCTTGAAAAACATTTTCGACGAGAATACGATTTAAAAGGTAGAAAGAAAGTCGATTGAAATATAACATTAATCCGTCGAAGTATAAATTTAGACGTTTGGGGAAACAGCTTCAATCTCGTTAGTCCTAGCTTTCGAGATTCCCCGTCGTTTTTCCTTCGGCGGGATCTTTCCTCGGATTCAGCGCGGGTTTTGGGTCACCGCGGTAAAAGGCAATGGCCGTCGCGTGATCGAAATGCGCTTTTCAGTGTCCTGAAGTAGTGACCCCGATTTCGCCGCACATTCTGCACCATCCGAATTCGATAAAATGAGAAACGATGCGCGCTGGGACTCTGGTTGACCAAACGAGATCGTCCGCTCGTGCACTCGTCGATCTAATCGATGGCCATCGCGCTCGCAAACCGACTGGCGGATCCCGAGCGAGCGATTTCCCCGCGCGCGGACAAAGCGATATTAATCGTTAGACGTTGAGATTTAAGATAACTCCGGAAAACGTGACAAATCAGGTCGTTACATCGATCAGGAAAATCTCTTTCTCGTATTTCTAATCTCGCGTTGCAATTTTCATTATTTTTTTAAAATCACCACGTTAAATTGTACACGGACAGCTTGTCGCGGCCAACACAAACTCATCTGTGTTCATTGTCAGTCGAAACAAAGTGAAGCGTTTTAATCCTGGAACATGGAACGTCGAGTCACCCTGACTCACCGATGAAATATTTTCATATTTTTCCGAAAAAGTTGTCTTACATTTTTATTTGTACTAATTGTTAATTTGTTAAAAAAAACCCAACTAGAGTCTTAAACGAAAGAAACTTTTTGGTTCGTTCAAATTCGATAAAATTTAAGAAAGTTATAGCAACTTTAAATTTCTGTGGGCCACTCCGACGTTATTGCTCGAGTTCTTTTATGTTCGCGCTTTAAGGTTTAAGGGAATTATTCGAGGTAAATATTCTCGCGCCTCGCGTACCGTGACGCGTGACGCAATCGCCTAAGACAATTCGATCATCATCGTGTACGAGTCTCACGATACTCTCTTACGAGGATAGTCACGGTGCGTAACGCGAGCGCGCATTACTTTCCCTCGTTATTTATTACGTGGTAGAAAACGTAATACTTATTGCCGGTTTGCCATTGACACTGCGACTCGTGTAACGGCTTCCTAAATTTCTTCATTTCCTTGTAATTAATCGCTCTTTCGAATCAACGGATGATCATTCTGGACCATCCTTGCCGCGCGTGTATGTGGGAAGGGAAGGGGGAGATGTATATCTCGATATCATGTTTCTGACGAACGAGACGATGATACCAATACTATCTTTCTGAGAAATAGAGCCTCGACTCTCGACTTCAGAAATGAAAATTTCTCAGGACGATCGAATGTAGTATTTAGTCGATCGCATTAACATATCGAGTTTTGTTCCTCAGGATCTATTACTTAGGTCCTTTTACACGCCCATTCGATCTGGAATTGAAGCAGTCTTGCTTTAAAAGTGTCTCACTTGAGGTGTTTTTAATTTTAAGTTTGCTACTTATGAGATTGTTATGTATTTTGGGAAGGTCTGCGTGTCCACGACGCTAGAACTTGGTCCAAGTCCTAATCCCGAGAAATGTGTAGCCAATCAATTTACAGCTTTTATGGAATAGCTCCAAGTTGATTGGCTACGCATTTCTGGACACAGGCCTTCAGCAATTTAAAAGCAGGAGGAAAGAAGACCTCCTTTTCACCAGAAAAGTCCTAGAAGATGACTCAGGAAATCGTCCCAAACAACACGTACGTCTAGAAAACATTTTAAACGGTCTTAAGATATCTTTTAACGGTCTCCGGATATCTATGGACATAACGACGGAAGCAACTGTGGCCGTAACTTAAAGACGTTTCAAGTCGAAGCTCTTTTCCTCAGCAGGACAGAATAGCGAATGCTACACAAACATATTACAAATAAAGACATGCGGCTCACAGGTCGATGTATTTTGCTTCCTCGGCGCCTCCATCCGTTGTTATCCCAGCGGCCGACTCATTCTAGGAAGCGCGTTGTCTTAGGAGAGGTCTGCGTCGTTCCGGCTGCCGTCTCCCAAAAATACGCCGGACTGAAGCGTCCTCAGCAATCTCGCGCATTCCTACGTACAAAAATAGAGTAAAAAATTCGGTCTCTCCCCAAACAACACGCATAAGAGGATCCTATAAAGTTATCTGTTTTACCGACACATCGTGTCGGTGTTTTAAGTATGAACATGTTCCGTTACGCGGTTCGCAGCTTATCCTGGCGTTATTTCGCGCGTGGAAGCTGATAAAAAGATTTACCGGCGCAAAAACTATATTCGCAAAGCGCGAGCATGGCAAAATCTGCAAGTGCGCACGGACGCCTTAACCTAACCTTGCGATTACCTCTCTCTCGCGCGATTGCTCGCCTCTTCCTTCGAGATCGCACGCGCATCTCTTCGTAAGTAGCCGATACCTTCTCGTCCGTGAAATGTGCGAACGCGTAAACTCGTCGGCTTCCTCGGCACGCCATATTGCCTCCCCTCGAGGTTCGAATTTCGCCGCTTGGCGCCGGCCTCGCGCCGGAAACTGATGATCGCCGCGATCTCCGATTTCGCTCCCGAGCGGAATCGTCACGCTCGACGACGACACCGCGGAGCGATCGCGCGCCCCGTGCGAAATGTCCTCGCGAAAAGTCAAGAGCGCGGGTTAAAGCGCGTAAACGCGCTCGTCCACTTACCGACTCGTCCCGGGACGCGACTTGAGAACAACGGAACGAGCGGACGCTGCTTTTCTAACGGGTCAAGATGGAGGGAGGCGGACGGACAGGAGGAAGAGCCGAAGAGAGAGAGAGAGAGAGAGGCAGACCGAGAGACGAGGTTCGTTAATATTCAAGAACATAGACGAGTATTGCGAAAGAGGCGCAATTCAGGGAATAACAGTACGGAAAAAGAGAGTCGCGAAAAGTGCGAGTGTATGTACTTACGCGTGAAAGAAAGACAAAGAGACACCACCAGAGGCGCGCGGTCGGAGTGGGGGAATGGCGGTCCGATTCCGGCGTTCCGTTCGCTGCGGCGGCGGCGGCGGCGGCGGCGCGACGAGCGGCGACGAGCGGAGAGCCGAAGCCGAGGCGAGCGGAGAGAGGCCAGTCGGTAGCGGCGCGTCCCCCAGGCGCGAGTCGCTGCGATGAGTCGGTACAGGCGCGCATCCGCGGCGATGGACGGCGCCGCGTCGGCGGTCCCGGTGCTCCTCGTACGCGTGCTCGCGGTGTCCCTCGCGCTCCTGTGGCCGGTGCTGAGCGAGGAGACGACGAGCCTGACCGGGCGCATGCGGGCGATCAGCGAGGACCTGGACCGGCAGCTCAACGAGATAATGGCCTCGCAGGCGCTCACCTACTCGGCGGTCAACACCGTCGGGCTGCCCTACAACGCCACCACCAAGTTCAACCCGAAGGGCATGGGCCAGCTGTACAACGTGACGAATACGTTCATCGACCTGGTGCAGAGCAAGCAGGCGTATCCGGAGGGTGAGCACCTTTTTATACTCTCTCTCTCTCTCTCTTTCTCTCGGCTCGGCGTCGTCGCGCCGCGGGATGCTGGGGCCGCCTCCCCGGAGACGCGCGGAGACGTCGGCGCGGGGAGGGGGCGGGGGATTTGGGGGTTAGGGCACGGCGTCGCGCCGCGCCGCGTCGCGCATTTTCGCCCTGCCGGGGCCGACGGTTACGCCCTGTAACGCCGACAACGCGCCGCGCGCGCGGCCGAAAAATGGCCGGTCGCTTGTTGGTAAACAAGAACGGCTGTAGAGGCACGTTCGCGCCTCGAGGGTCGGTCGCGGACGTTCCGCCTCGCTAGACGTAAACGTCGCCGCGCCGCGAGCCACCGTCCGAGGGTATCGGTACCTCTCGTCAATGGGGACCGAAGCGGCCCCCGATACGGCTTGGAAAGCGAACGCGCGTAAACCGAGTGTGTGCCCTCCCGGGCGTCGCGGACGAAGGTTATAAGCGGCGAGCGGAGTTGACTTTTATATACCGGAGCGCACGCTTAATTTCCCGTGATTTGCCCCGGCCCTGAAAGGCCATCAACGAATTGCAAGAGGCCGCACTTCGACTAACGAGCTCCAGCGCTCGGACCCACACCTTTTAGAGGCGCGACCGCGCGCGCGTCCGTCCGTCGTGCGTGCGAGAGGTCGTCGACGGATTACACGCGCGAAGGTCGTCGAATCGGAGCGACACGCGATCGCCCTCCGAATCGGGCGGACTACAATTCGTATCTGAATTGTGTCTTCGGGATGTGCGAGAGATACGAGAGAGGCGGGAAGAGAGAATGAGGGATTAATTGGTGAAATTGATGGAGTCGTATATGCGATACTGGGGTAATTCATGGATGCAGACGCGAGAAGGACGGACGGTGTCTGGGCCGACTGATTTTCTCCGTAATTTTGCGGCCCTCTTGTACAAGCCACGCGACAACGCGGAAAAGAGAAATTCGGTCGAGTGAAATTAGCAAGGGCGTCCGCAGGATTTCTTCCCGGGAGGACGTGATTCGAACTTTCACAATTAAAATACGTATAAATCCAAATTTATAGAGGAAAGTCCTCTAAAATTATGAGATAACAGGTCTTTCAATACCCAAATTCAGTCACAAATCTTTTTTCGCGGCGATTACACAATCTAAGAATTATTGTTTCACTAAACCGATATCAAAGGCGTTAAATTCATGGTGGAATCAACAGAAGATGCCTATCAATTTAACAGAAACCCCGCTGTCTCGTATTAAGAGCCTATCTCGTAAAAGGGGACTTTCCGCTACACCTTTTGGTGTTCAAGTCTCTTCTCTTCATCGAAGGAAGAGCGAGTGTGCAATTTTTGCGTGTCTCCTCTCTTTATCAAAGGACGAGCAAACGTTTAATTTTTTGCCGAGGGGCAAGCGTCCCCTCTTGCCCTCCCCTGTGGACGCCTGTGAGAATTAGCGCTGGTCACATCCTCAGAAAGGATTTCTGTTACCGAGACAAAAATATTCCTGGCGCATTTATATCGCTCGCAACTCCATTTAGTACAAAAATAAGACAATACCAAAGTAAAATCAATAATTCTTATTCTCCTCTGTCGGATTAAAAAAAGATCGACTTGCTATATTGAGACAAGAGTAACTTTATATAGTCCTGCGTTTAGAATGAATTGTCCCTCCATCTTACAACGCACGAAGTTGGCACCGCGACATTCGACAATGAAATTGGAAATACTTGAACATCTACTCTTAACGCATAGTAAATCTAGATGTAAGAAACTTGAACGATAGTTGGAGTCTCGTTTGTACTTCTACAAAAGTACTCGTATTTTTCACTTTACAAACGTTTGTTCCTGCATTATTTGCGATTTTTTTCACTTATGAGCGTAAACTCTTGATAGTGAAAATACCCCGATTTCAATTTAGTAACGTAAAATATTTTCAAAACTAAAAAATTCGTGCCGACAGCACGAATATCTCAAGTTATATTGTATTTCTTTAAAACGGTGTAGGTAAAGACTATTGAAACTTGGTAGATATTTTCATCTATTCGTGTACTAGATGTATAAAAGAAAATTCAAAACACTGGTACTATTTCTTCTACATCTTTTTAGCTGTTTTATCCGTGAAGATCGGCTCTTTCCGTAAGAGTGCGTGTAAAATCAGTGTAAATTAAAACAGTCGTGTCTCAGCAACCGTTTAGTGGATGCATTTTTACTTCTCTGCAGTATATACATTAGGAAGACTGAAAGGACAATTTCACAAATTTTTAGCGACTTTGTACTATTTTGAAGACAGGTCCGATACATCCTTAAGATTAAAATATACCTTTCTCTACAATAAATATGATTGGCGCTATATCGATCCTATTTTATGATACATTCAAGTGTAACGGCATTGGATCCGGAAATTTTTTCCGTGGGCGCAGTGTTGTTGCAACCTAAGATTTCCGTTTCCTCGTTGCAACCGTATTGATTTGCGAATCGAATTACGAAGCGCGAAATCGCTTCCCCACGCGTGCCCGAAATAAGTTAATTTTTTTCAGCCGCCACTCGCGCCCAACAATATATGTATATAAAATGAGACCCGCCGGCAACTCTTTGTTTCATTATTCCGCGCTTATTAAGTGCGCCGCAATAATTCAACCCGCGCCGCAAAAAGAGGCATGCAAAATTGTATGAATAATAAGTAAAAATTGCAATAATGAAAATTTACAATGCAGGCGGTGCGTGCGCTCGGTGCGATTTGCACCTTTTTTTATATATACAGCGTACACACGTTCCCAGCGAAAAATATAAATATGGAAAGACTCCACGACGGTTAATCGAGATTCATTAATCCGCGAACCGAAAGGACAGCCTTTGGTGTTTTATCGACGTTCATCGTACGCGCGAAGAGAATTGATCTATTTTAGCGTGCGCCGCTGGAAAAGAAAATGAAACACGCACGAGTTCTCGCTTCTGACGTCAGAATTTAACGCGAGGAAAATGGTAGGAGCCTTAAATGGCGAACGCGGGGGGAGATCGCGAGTGACGATCCGCTCGCGAACGCGACGTAAAGGCCCAAACACAATGCCAGGCAACTGGAAAGGTTGGGAGAAAACCGACGAATCCAACGCGTCCAAAAATTCTATTACCTATTCCCGTTTGTTGCCTGGCACTGTGCGATAGGCTTACGAACGACGAGATAATGGCCGTCGTGCTTCGCGGCTCGCGGGTTCTTTTTTTTGGTCACGGGTCTTTAAGTCGCGCTCGAAACGTCGCGGTTCTCGCGCGCCGAAGATTCGGAGGAGAATTGTTATCTGCGCGGAAGTCGCGGTCGATTGCAATCGTCGCGTGTAACGTAACTGGAGGAAAAGTATCGACCGCGCGTCGTACATTCAATTAGTAGGCAAAACTCATCGTTCATTCGCTCCCCGGTATTACGAATTTATTTCTACGAAACGGACGCTTTTACCCGCGCGAAGCCCCCGTGGTCTCCTCCGACTTGGCGGCGCAAATTTATGCGACGTTCCCACGCTCGTCTTTCGCCCTTTCTCTCTCTCTCTATCTTCGCCCAATGAAATATTCCTTATAAATCGGATTCGAGTCCGGCAACGAGATTATGCATCCGCGGAAAATCGATATCAATTTAGAAGATTTGATACGCGCCCGCTCATGCGCGCCGCTTTTTCATTCCGTTCCGATTGAATCTACGCGATTGTCCGTCCTTTGTTAACCCCCCGAAACGCGACTCACAATGGTTATGAATGAGGTATTCGCGATTTTTTTACATTCAGATTGACGCACAAAGCTCTCGGCACGGGCCTTCCGCGCGCGATCCGCCCGGCCGGTATTGTCCGACCGTTACTTCGCCATTCAGAGTTTAATGTTTGATTGAAACTTACTTTCTCGTCATTATTCGAGTAAAGTAAATTTCTTACATACGTACACATGCGCTTGAATACGTAATTTCGCCATCAAGAACGTCTAAATGTAACAGCTTTCGCGTTGGACTAATATTACATTTGTCGTATGACGAATTGTACAAGCGCGTTGATTGGCTGTGGAATAGACAATTTCTAGAGACTCAAGAACTTTTCTATTCTATCGACCAATATCAGCTTGAAAAATTTGTCGTACGACAAATGTACGTATATTAGCCTTAGGCTAGCATTACATTTGTCGTACAAGTTTTTTAAATGTATTGATTGACTGCAGAATAGTAAAATTCTCGAGTATCTAGTTTTCTATCCAGCAGCCAAACATGCTTGGAAAATTTGTCGTTCGACAATACCAGCCTTAGACTGATATTTTTCGAGCGTGTTGATTAGCTGCAGGATATGAAAGTTCCCGAGTCACATCAACACGCTTGGAAAATTTGTCGTACGACAATAGCAGCCTAAGGGCCTGAGCAGAATGGCTGTCTTGTACTCTTCAAACATAAAACAGTTATCGTGCGTTACCTCAAGACAAAGGCTTAAAACGTAAAGCATTGTCTTGAGGCTGTCTTAAGAGTATAAGACAGCCATTCCGCTCAAGCCCTTAGACTGACATTACATGTGTCGTACGACAAATTTTTCAAACACAGTGATTAGCTGCAGGATATGAAAGTTGTCGAGTATGTAGAAATTTTCTAGTTGTAGCCAATCAACACGCTTAAAAATCTCGTCGTACGACAATAACAGCCTAAGGGTACTATTACATTTGTCGTACGACAAATTTTTCAAGCGTGTCGATTGGCCGCTGAATAGAAAGTTTCTAGATACTCGAGAATTTTACTATCCTTCAGCCAATCAATACGCTTAAAAACTTTGTCGTACGACAAATGTAATACCAGCCTTAGACTGATATTACATTTGTCGTACGACAAATTTTTCAAGCGTGTTGATTAGCCGCAGGGTATGAAAGTTCTCGAGTATATATCTATAGAAATTTTCTAGCTTGTAGCCAATCAACACGCTTAAAAATGTTGCCGTACGACAAATGTAATATTACCCTTAAGCTGGTATTACATTTGTCGTACGACAAAGTTTTTAAAT